AGACCATAAAAAAATAATAAAATCAGTTATGTTAAAAATTGGGTTTGTGTAAAAATATCATTTTTTCCTGAATTTATTTTTCTCGAAGCTTTTAAATGACAATGCAATTTTAAATTTTGACTATCAGTGGTCTCACTATCAAAGTAGTCAATAATCAGTAAAGTTGTTAATTCAATGTCTATTAAAAGACATGAGTGTTTAGATAATTATTATATAGAAGTTGAAGTATACCCTTTTAATTAACTAAAAGGTAGGATCCTGATTAAATGTAGTTAATCAACCATAAAATAATTTTCTGAGCTATTTTACAATGAATACCAAATTAGTCATACTCTATTAAGTATATTTTTTATACATTCATCATTCTTGAGTTAGTAATTAATCTTGATTAACTTTTGATCTATAACTAGTTAGTTCAGAATATTTATTTAATAATCTTTTAATAATTTAATTAAATAATCAAATACCCAATGCATTATTTCAACATCATTTACTATATTAAACTAATTTATATGTTTTTTTGTACAAAATGTTAAATCTCAATTAAAAACCTAATTTTTTTTATTGTTCTAATATGTTTAAGAGTACATTGTAATTAAACAAAAAATGTGTTCAGGTTTGTCAGATGTTCCAGGAGAAGCAATGGTTAAGCTTTACTGTCCTAAATGTATGGATGTGTACACACCAAAATCATCTCGTCATCATCACACTGACGGTGCTTATTTTGGTACAGGTTTTCCACATATGTTGTTTATGGTACATCCAGAATATAGACCACCAAGGCCTAGCAATCAATTTGTGCCTAGGTATGTGTGAAATTAATTAAATTTCTATAAACAAATTTTAGTAGAAATTAGTAGAAATTAGTCTTAGAATTTCTAAAGATGTAATAGATAATTTTTATTTAAAAAAAGAATATTTACAACCTATGCTACAAAGCATAATAAGCAAATTTGAACACGTACATAAACATTTTTACCACCTGAACACATGAGGAGGGAGAATATCCAGTGATAGAACCCAACATTATTTTTTATTTATTAATTTAACATACAATAAATTTAAATTAAATGGTTTGAAYCATCAATCATTTGAGAAATTATGACACCATTTTCTCTTTAGACGGCGTGRGGGATTACTAGGAAGCAAGTTCAACAATTCAGTGGTTAAATTGAGACTGAAATTATTTATAGTGTRTTGTGGCTAATTGATTTATTGTTTYTATTTTGAAGTCATTTTAAAGTGTGAAATTTGATATGTACCAAGGCGCAGAAGAAATATTGCAGAATGGTGATAGGTTGGAAGGCTTGGAGAGTACATRTTTGAGATTTGAGATGGTTTAGCGTATCCCCAGATTTGGATTGCATAAGCCTAGGTAGGCCGTAATAAGGATTTGTAGATGATTATTTTTGTGTGGATGGATAATTTTGATTTCAGAACTGGGCGAAGTAAGTGAAGTTGACTATTAAGAATTTTTCTTTTTGACTTGATATGAGGACCCCAGGTCAATCTTTTGTCAATAAGGACGCCAAGGTATTTTACTTCTGAGGATATTGGGATTGGTATTCCTTAAAAATAGAGGGGAAAGGGTATGGACTCTATTTCTTACAATACTAAAATTGTCATTTATGGTGAATAAAAAGAAAAWACCAATGATCAAATCTATTGGGYCTCTGTATGAGTTATTCAGTATAGCACAGTCCAGTATATTTTATTCAATGAAGAAAGGRAATGAACTCAGGCAGTAGTGGTTCCTGTGAGCATCACTTAATTATACTATAATATGCATTTATTTATTGAAGTTCACAAAGTATTTAAAAATATATATTTTTCATTTTCATTTTTACCCTCAATATTTTATTGAATGCATTTCTAGCTTTGTCTGCTAAAAAAATAAATCATCAGTTTTTTATCCTCTTTTATTACCTTCTAAGCGACATGTTACTTTTTGGGGACTGGCCCCATATCACATGTCAAGGTGTCTAATTCTTGGTTAACTAGACAAGTATAGTTACACCAAGGATGAACAGGGGGTCGGTCATTACTGGYCAGCTTGCTCTGGAGTCCAGACGCCACCACGTGCAAAATGCTCAAGGCTACCTCCTAATTGACCACCCAACCGTGCACGCAAGAACATTAGTTCAGGCTTACTCGGCCATAGGTGACCCCCCTATATAAAAATTTGCTAAACTAAATAAATAATAACTAATAAGGATATATAGGTTATGATT